GTTAGGGGTGGGCAATTTCATATTTATTCTCACATTTTATTATATAAAATGTTAAGATATTTTAATAAAAAAATAAGGTATAACGTAGCAAAGTATTTTAGGTTTCTACCTGGAGTTCATTTTGCTAAATTTTAACTTTTAACTCAGGTTTCTGCAATTTGATATTATAGATTAGTGGTATCATTTTACGCCATAATATTTGTCAAATGAATGTTTCTAAATGATGATATTCAATTTTGATACTGCGTTATAAAACGGCAGTATGATACCTCTGACAATGCAATTTTTTTATTAGAGATATATTTTTACTTAGACCACGGATATGTCTTCGGTTAAAACACTTATATATTTTTAAACGTTTTTGGCAAAATATAATAAAATTTTTCCTTATTTATAATGTAGTTTGTTGTCTTCAATCTGACATGTGTATTGCAACTGCAATGGAAATATTGTATAATATCAATAAACTTTTCTCAATAATAATAGCAAAATGTAGTTGCTTTTGTAGATTAATACTATTACGTTCAAGTAAATTAGTTTATATATAAATTAACGAATACATTTTTTTGGAAAAAAACATGACTAATTTCTTTTAAAAAGTTGAGAAATTTATTTAAGTGTTGTTGCTTTTATTGAGTAATACATTAAAAAATAGTTTAGATGAAAATTAGTAAATTGAATTTTCCTGCATAAACATTTTTTGGAAAGTAAAAGAATTTATTCAGGTATTTTAGCATTAAAAGAATAATACAATTATTCCCAATAAAAAAGGTTAGATATAAATTAACAGAAGTGATTTTCTGGTGAAAATATTTTTTTTTCTTTCTAAGAGTTATAAAAATTCATTCAACTGTTTTGGTATTTGTAGAGTAATACAATTATGTCAAAATAAATAGTTTAGATATGAATTAATAAAAGTGATTTTTTGGTGAAAATATTTTTTTCTTTTGAAGAGTTGAAAAAATTCATTCAAGTGTTTTGATATTTGTAGAGTAATACAATTATGCCCAAGAAAAATAGTTCAGATATAAATTAATAAAATGTATTTTTTCGAAAAAACGTACATTTTTCCTTTGCAAAATTATAAAAAAAATCAAATATATTTGATAAGAGATATGTTTGAATTTTTTAATATAATGAATATATGAATATTTTTTATCATATGCATTTAAATATTTAGTCTATTTTGTAACATATTTATCGTAGAGATGTTTTTGAAAATATAAACATTACTTTGTTCCTTTAAACTCGCCTATACTCACAAAATAATCTTTAAGGGTGTTTTGGTTCTTTTTACCATTTTTGGTGTATATATCTATTTTGTGTCATCATATAATGATTAAACTATTTAAACGCGAATTTGGTGAAAAAGTACAATAATAGCATGTGCTGGGCATAAATAAATCACATTTAGGATACTTAAATCAACATACAGAAGTATGTATGCGTGCATAATGATCATTTAAAATTCATAAAATAATCCTTTCCTGGATCCCTAATTTTTTTTATCACACTCATTCAATTTTTTCTTGAAGTTGGTCATCATCACTGAAGTGCAAAATTTATGCATAAACACAATTTCTCGGGCTAAAGTTATTTACCTTGGTTTGCTAATAGTTTATCTGAGCTATCAAACAATAATGGATTACAAGTGTATTATCACTCCGAGTGATGAAAGATTCCAAGCAAATGCAATCACTTGGTATAAAACATTCATTCAAGACTATGGAACTCCAAACTGCGCATTTACTTCTGGCAGTAGTAAAAATCTTACAAGTGATATGAATATCGATATTTGAACCTTTATTGCCCATCACTATCCGGCATTGGCCGCTACATCATTACAGTTAAAGTTTCCGGCACGATCAGCGTGTTTTATGCCTTACTCCACACTACAGAGAGAAACTGTAGCTTTACTAACATGTGAGGGTAGAATCGGAATATGATTTTACAAATGCTTAATATTATACGTATGTCGATATGTACGAGTTTTATTATATAGACATGTAAATATTCATGGCCAATATGTTAAATGATACATGTGCCATTGACCTCATCAGATTTGTCATAGAATACGATCGTACGCTTTTGCTTGGAATAATTATTACTGATTTTATTAACTCCTCGTAGGGTTTTTATAGTAATCGCAAAAAATAGAGATGACATTTTTTATATATCTTTACGTTTCAAAGGTTTCTGATCATTTACCTTGGCATACCTTAGAATAAATAGATGTGTGTATGTGTGTGTGCGCGTATACAATTTTTCGTCGATGATTTCGGAAACAAGAATCAACCGATTTGAATAATTAAAAAAAAACATTCGATTTGTATTGATAAGGAGACTTGCTGATTAGTTTATGGCAAAGGCAGGTCTAGCCCTCGTTCGATTTTAATAATTCAAAAAACATTTTACTTGTATTGACAAGATGAAGAACTAGCAGTTATGGACTCTCAATAAAAACAAGTTGAAAAAATGTTATTTGACGGTCAAAAATGGACATATGCACTTCAAATTATTACATATTTTATAGAGATTTTAATGATGTGTACATATTTATGTCAATTTTTTGGGTTCCATACCAAGATTTTCATGTGTATGATTCAAACAAATTTCCTTGAAATTTTCGACGGTATGAAATAACCGATTCGAATAACCTACAAAACATTTGATTTGTATTGAGAGGCGCTGATTAGTTTTTGGCATAGGCAGGTCTAGCCGTTTTGAAGATACGGGGCAAAAATAGCCAAAAATGTTAATTCTGTTTTTGTGAGAACGGATCATCCGATTAAATTTTGCTTGAGTAGGCGGTGTGCAAAAATTGCTTTTACAGAAAATTTCGTAATTTTGAAAATTTTCAAAAAATTTCTAAATCTTCAAAAAAAAATAAATTTTTTAAATTTTTCATCACTATCAAAAAAGTTTATCTCAAACTCAATTCTGAAAACTTTCAAAAAATATCTAAATTAAAATAGACGGTTTCGAATATTTTCAAAAATTAAAAAAAAAACTGTTTAAAAAACGAAACCAAAAAATTTCAAACTTCTAAAAATATTTCGAAAGCTTGAAAATCAATTTTAGAAAAAATTAACAAATACATATATTAAAAACATACACAAAAGTTGTTTGTAGAATACGCTCGTCGCTTAATTTAAAAAGCACTTACATGTTTACAGTATGTATATATAATAAATAATTATTTGAAATTATTCAAAATTATTATCAATTATTTCATTTCTCAAATGTTTAATTACGGTACGGAAAGTTCCAGCAATTTGCCTTAAAGCACATTGCCATGCGCCCCACTAGTTAACCTATTTTTTGGATGTCAAACAAAATTGCGACTCATAGAGATTTAATTTGACTTTAGTGTAAATCAACTATCTCTTTGCAATATTTATAGCTTAATTCATAGAAAAATATACACTTTTTATTATTATTACAGAGTTATAAAAACTAACACCTACACATTATACAAATTAATATCCAACTCTTAATACATGTGACTGCAACACGCATGATATAATTTTCAATAGCTAATATCTAACTAAGTTCATTTTATACACCTATCCTGACTAGTATTTCAAATTGAGCATGTTTTGCGAGCATTTACTGCATCCAATTATTGTGTTCGGTATAATTTATTGCCTGTATTAAAATTCTTGCCGATGATTACAGCGCTAAATAATTTTAAAAACGCCCCCGAGTTCATTATATTATTAGCGGCTGCATGAAGAAATAACCATTCGTGTAGTAAAGAATTTTTTTGTGGGTAAATGTAGTATTCGTTATATTTTAGAATAGAGACGAATAATCTGCAATATTTATTAGAAACGTGTAATATTCATTATTGGTATATTTGGTTTTGCAATTCACAGAAGTATTTTGATGCAAATAATTATTGTCAATCATATGTTACTCTGGAATAATTTAAAATGACATCCGTTTTGTATAAAAAATAGTCAATATTATAACTGAGTGACTAGTCAATACCATAACTGAGCCTTTAGGATAGTATATACGCTCATTTATATATCAACCCACACTCAATAGGCCAATAGTAATCAGTAGGCCAATCTCATATGAAATTCTTAGTAACAATTTTTTGCTAATATATTTAATATTAAATTAAATAACAAATTAATTGAATATTAAGATCATTTCAGATATTTAAATTTATTTCAAAAGAGTTTTGTGATTTATGTTAGTTCTAAGTTAAATAAAATGTGAATATTGAGACCAAAGAGACTCAACCCCCCGTCTATAACCGTTCGTGCACCTACGACTAATATTTCTATGAGCAAATGCAGGCAAGTTGCCTTAAAATGTATAGAAAAGGTCTGAGTTTGCATGCACGGCCTCCGTAAAATAAAAACAGTTGAATTAACACTTATTTCATGTCATTAAAGTTAATCCAAGTCATGCCGCGCAACCATTACTCTATGGCATACTATTAATTCGTTTCCTAAATTATGCTCGGGTTAAAATGCTTCGTGTTATGGCTTTTTTCTGTGCTTTGTTGCATTTAATTTTTCTTTGCTGGGCTGTACATAAGTTAATAGTAATATAATGGTATTGTTTGATTAGTTGATGTTCATTTGGAAAAATACTTTGCGGATGTATCATGGATAATATTCAGAAAATCATACACTTTGTTACATGAAACATAAAAAAATGATAAATTATAGACACAATATATAAGATTATTTGATCTACAGCAAATTTTAATAAACCAATGCGCTCAAAAAAAATGTCTTATTTATCTAATATATTTGAAAAAAAAGTCCTTAAAATTGACGGAACCAAATATACGGTGGAGACGCCACGTACTTTTTGACAAGATGGAATTAGATAAAATTTTGTATAAATTTCTACTAAATAATAAAAAACCTACAGACCTCATTATTTATATAGTTATGCATGCATTCGTGTATTTAATTTGATAGATTTTTTTAATACGACTAGCAAAACAATGAATTAGTAACAATTGGTCTACTTACATCAACTTTGATTCCTTCCAATCTGTAACTGTGCAGTACCGGATTGGCCTTTGGTACATATCGGAAGAATTCTTCATTATCCTTGTACCATTTAACAGAATACAAAGAATCTCCCTCGAGATCATATAAACATTGCAATAACACGCCTTCGCCACGTAGCGCGACCGTCGGTACTTGAACTCTGAGCAATTTCAGGCCAACAGCCACTGGAAAATACAAATATTTAATTAAAAATTATATAATATGTGATTTTAGGTAAATCATAATCAAAAACATATATCTATGCTCCTTTAGAATAATTCTTTTAATACTACTTTTTAATTAATATTTGTGGTTCTTTTGCTCAACTTTTACATTGCTCGCTGTTTCGCCGCATTTCTTTGTAACTACGGTATTTTCTTCTGGCCTAACTATGCATTTGGGATACTACCGCAGTGTTTCGTTTTATTGTTGAAATTTCATTCCAGTTAATACCAGAACGTTCCTGCAAAACTATTTTCATGGAATCTTCATTGTATCTTTCCCGAATCGATAACGTATTCTTGTTATTCAGCTGGGACACACTTTTATTCTTTAGTTTTAACAATAGTTGGGTTTTTGAGAATGGATAATTATTTTGGTTTTGTAAACATAATTATTGCATATTTTCAATTAAATATGCAGCAAAATATGTGTGAGAGCAAAATATCAATTTATTGTATTGAGCGCATATAATTATATATGATATGAATAATGGTGTTATTTTAATAGAATATCAAATTAATGCGCATAAAGGTTAAACGAAACAAACAAATTTTGTTGCAAAAATCAATGTGTTGGCCGGTTATGCATCTTTTTCCATCTGCGTGCAAATACTGTTATAAAATTCTTAACTTTACTTATTTTTGAGATATCGGTGGTGGAATTTATATTAATATATATATATATATATATATATATATTTATATAAATATATTGGAGTGGTCCTTAACATGGATGTTTTCGATTTTCCTTGCTCCCAAGGACTCAAACGCTCTTTCCATTCCATTTGCTTCTCAGAATTTTATTACTTAGCGACATGTAAATCAAAATCGTGAGAATAACATTGTATTTGCTAATTTTGATCATAAATAAAGAAATTACAACAAAAATTTGATATATTTCTTAAAATATGTATTTACTTAGAAAGAAAAACTAAGAAACTTTAGTGGTTGAAGTGCGGACTAGGTTAGAGTTAATATTAAGAGCTAAAACTACCTTAATATATACATATATATATATATATATATATATAATATATATATATATATATATAAATATTTATATATATATATATATATATTATATCAAACCTACATCACTATCTATCACCTGACATCTCGGCATAAAAGTACCTCCTTTAGAAGTAATGAAACTTTCCCAAGTTACTACTAAAGTTATAAAGTAACAAGTCTATCTGTACTTTGAATAGTGCGCAACACGCAAATTCGTAAATCTGTATAAAACATCGCTATTTCAATTTATGATTCTTTCTCGTCGGGGGGTGCGCTACTAACCCTCCATTTTAACCCTCCTTTATCCCTCCTCTGTCCCTCCTCGTTGCTGATTGTATCGCGACCGCAGCGCTCGCAGCGAGCCGGGCAGGAAATAACGTGTTCGTGCCGGGGTGTAATTGCCCCGCGAATATCGGGGAAAAAGCTACGTTTTCATATAAGATATCGGCTTAATATTCTTGTATTATTCGTTAACAATTAACATCGAATTGCGATGCGATGCGATTAAATTCTTATCTGGAATACTAACGCGGCCGAAGAGTAGTTTGAACCTGATAGAAGAGGTAATGGAATGATATCTGCGCGTTCGGAACTTGATCGAGTTTCTTTGGTAATACTATTTCAATTTGGAGAGAAAAGGATTCATAAAATTTTTTGCAGTTTTAGTATAAATAATAAAATTTAATGGCAAGAAACTTACAATAAATCTCAAAAATTTAACATCCGAGTGATACCTAAGACTGACGTCTTCAGTAATCTATTTTAGCATCAATAAAATAGTGCGATCTATGAATTATTTGGATTCATTCAAAATAAATCCAACTTAGTTGACTAAGTTGTAAGACAAGTTTTGATATGAATTGTAAAAATGTGTTCAGTAGATTTATCAAATTGAAGATCAAAGTAATGTATAAGGCAAGCCTAACCAAGGTTAAATTTAATGAAAATGTTTTTTTATCAACTTAATACATGATAGTCTAACTATTCATTACACAGCGTGTAGTTATTACAGAATTAATTATAAATAGATACAAAATTTCAAATGAGTATAATATATTTAATTTTTATTGTACGCAGATTTTTATATAATAATACAACAAAAATCAATATAAAAGGTAAAAAGGACCAACTATTCCTTTAGCCTGGCAAAAGTGTAAAAAATAGAAAATAGTGAATAAAAAAGTAAATTAATCTAGAAAATGCAATTTTACAAGAGATAAATTCAATAAATAGTTACTCCAATTTTCCTGACAAATACCAGATCAAGGTTATAGACAGTGTTACCTCTGTAGAAATTGTACCCATTAAATTAATAATTTGCATTGGTTGAATAATGTAGTTAATATTTTGTAAAATCCCTTTAAAATTAAAAATGAGACGTTGGGACCTGTTTGCTCCCTGGTCATTTCTTTTTAACCTGTTTATGAGGAAAAAAGTTCCAAGTTGCAAATTTGTGAAAAAAGCAAAAAGCATTTTTACAATGATGAATTAGCTAAGAGTTTTACTGAACATAGTCACATAGTTAGATATATGTTATTTGTTGTGATAATTGGGTTGGTTTTCACCAATAGCGCGCCCCGCCCTATTTTATAGAAGAAATTCTTTATCCCTAAATCAAAGTTAGCTAATTATTTATCTCCCACTTATCAAACTCTTGAAAATCTTGCACCATAAATCATATACGAATAATCGATTCAAACTTAGCCTAAAGCCTGAAGCCCATCTACTTCTCGAAACGAGTCGATTATAAATAATAAATATCGTATCGTTTGGAAACGAATCTGAAAAACGAATTATCATAATCTGCTATCGGTTGATTTATTTGAATATTTTATTCTCGAGGGTTTGGCCTGGCCGTGTTATGTGATTCATTTCGTTCTCCTCGTTTGTAATTTATCGTCGGCGCTGTAATTATATTAACGTAATGCTGTGTATTTATTATGACGCAAGAAATATAAGGTGTGCGTGCGGAGAAATAGATAGACGGAGGGCTGGTGGAAATAAATCAAGAGATATTTCTCAAAAAATTGAAAACTATAAATAAAACTAGTTGGTATTGGTATTTTGCCTTGAGGCAAGTTACATGAACTTCCCGATATGTGTAAATAATCGACTTAATCAATATAAATTAAATTAAATTATGAGTGATTAAAAGTATTCCAAGTGAATTTATTACACCTAATTGAAAGCGAACAAACACGTTGACTCGGAGTATTTTCTAAAAGCAAATTTTTACAAATCAACAATTTTTATAATTGAACCATTTTCCGTTAGATTTTAATGATTAAGTATGTTCATCAAGACCAAGTACTCTATCGTTATACCAAGTAAATCATCTAATTTTAATTTTAATAAACGTAAAAAAAAACTACTCATTTTCTCAAACTTTGATTAATTTTTAAAATTAAACTACTTGTCGTAAGGCCATAATATTTCAGTAAGTTCTATAAGACCATGATATCGCCAGAAAAAGTTCCATAAAAATTGGCTCATATTTCTGTTTCAACAGTTAATTACAAGAAAACGGCTTGGTAGATGTTCACCTAAAACTAATCAGTGTCATTCCCAACTAATATTTTTAGAACACTATTTAATTTTTTAAAATCGATGTGGTAGTATGAGTTTAAATGAAATGGAAATTTTTCACTTTTTTCCAAATTACAAAGAGAAGGCTCGGCTGATTATTGTACAAGATTGCGAAACGATAATCCTGATCGAGATACATCAAATGGCTTTTAAATTTCTGAAATCAGTTCAGGCGTTTTTGAGCATACTTCGATGAAAGGTCTAATTTTGACAAATGCCAAAACGCGATACTATTTTTTGCAAACTTTGCCGAATTTTTAAAACTAAACGACTTGTCGTGGGGCCGTAATATTTTAGTATGATCTAGAATACTATGGTATCTACCGTCAAAAACTTAAAACAAATATCGTCGAATTTCTTTTTATAACATTTCATTACAAGAAAACGGTCCGGCCGATCTTTACCAAAAACTAATCAGTACGATTCCCAAACAATATCTTTCTAACGGTTTTTGAATTTTCAAAATCAATTCAGAATTGCGTTCTAAAACGTGGACGAGAAAAATTTAACTTTTCTGCTACTTATATAAAAACGTCTTGGCAGATCGTTGCATAAAGCTGGTAAACGTCAGTCCTCGTCGAGATACATCGAATGGCTTTTAAATTTTTAAAATCGGTTCAGCCGTTTTTAAGAGAACGTCGATTTACGGGAAAAAAATCTGTTCACACACACATAATTTTTCCAAATTTGGTCTCATTCGATTCAGAATGGCTTGAAACATGAAGAAAACATGAAATCAGCGAATCGAATTTTTTGATGAAAACAAACTTCTCCTTCGGGAATTTATATTAAAAAATGAATACATCCTTGTTGATTCGTGATTAAATTATTAATCAAAGTTTTATGTAATTATTAAAAAAAATATCTTTGAACATTTATGTTTGTTTTTAGAACTCTGGAATATCTTTCTGATTCCCAGAAACTTGGTTTCAGCAATCTTTCTACTCATCTAGTTCTGATTGAAATGCGTTTCTCGCAATATTCGATTTAAATGTAAAGTAGATTAAAAACCATGCAAGTTTCCTCGCCGCCTTTGCTGTTTTGCTATTTTTATATGTTAATTTTTTAATGTGAACCTGCGGCTAGGGAATTGCAGAAAATTATTACGCAGTTGCATGAGAAATGATAATAAGTCACTTTACACCTTCCGATAATGTTATAACTTAACTGGAGGTTTTAGTAAGATAAAATAAAAATATAACATTAACTTATGCATTTTATTACAATTAGAAATTATTCAGCACACGCTGAATGAAAATGAAACATAATTTAGAAAAAGTGTAGAAAAAAATTTGTTAAAGTACTTGGAGCAATTTTTTTTTGACGTCGTTATTTTCTTTCAATTCTAAAAATTTTCCAACAATGTTACATGTGAATAACATTGTATATCAGGTGTATAACATGCACTATATCACTTTCAACTAAGTTACCGATCTCTATATGATTCACAAGCAGCCCGAAGTACTTGCACCACCACGATACACATATAACTTTTCGAGTTAATGGCCACGACAGTTATTTGAGTTATATTGCGGGCAGTAAAAACACATTTTCCAAACATTGTAAGAACCGACGAGTTTTTCAATAGACCGAGGGCCAACGACCTGGTAATATTCCATTTTACGAGTTTACAGAAAATTTTCTAGTCGATGTTGTAATATTAATGGTAATTAGCATGAGCATGGTGCTTAGAGATTTTTTACAAAAGATTTTAGTACAAAGTGAACCAAGAATGGAATAACAATTTAAACAACTAAAAGCAATGGTGTACTAATTAATATTTTGTTTTTCGGAAAATAAGTAAATTTAATATAAATATAAATATAATAATATTTCATACAATAATTTCATATAATAATAATTTTCATATAATAACATTTCAAATTGCTGGAACTTCCCGTACCGTAACGAAATGATCGAGGAATATTAAATGTTTTCAAATAAATTATTATAAATATTGTAACATTGTCTAATATTTATAAGAATTATATAAACTGAATTGCAAAGTTGAAATCAATTGTTTAAAGTATATTAGAACTAGAGTCAAAATTAAAAATAAAATCTGAATTATTTTAGATAAACAAAAAAAAATTTTTTTTGAAAAAAAAAATTGAAACAATTTTTTTTTCCAAAATCAGTTATTTTGTTAAGACAAGCAGAAAGTTATTTTATTCATTTAAATTGGACGCTTAGGTCTCTCAAAAATTGCCATTTTTTACACATTTAGCTGTGTATCTTCGAAATGGCTGGGCCTGCTTTTGCGAAAAACTAATATACACTTCTCCCAATCGGATGCTTCGTACACTCAAAAACTCGATTTCTATTTTCTGCACTCTTTGCTCCGTATCTACGTAACGGCTGGACCTGCCTTTGCCAAAAACTAATCGGCCTTCTGCCTATCAATAGGAATCGAATATTTTTTTAACCATTCAAATCGGTTGATCCGTGTGCCCGAAAACGTGACTGGAAATTTGTATTCATACATACATACACACACACACACACATCCATATTTTCTGAGGTAAGCCAAAATGTACAGAAACCTTAAAACGTCGAGAAATGTAAAAATTTTCGGCCCATTACAATAATTTACCCTACGGGAATTAAAAAACAGTTGTAAAAGTAACACAATATATTTTAAAATTTATTAAAAAATAGAATTCAAATATTATTATAAGATGATATAGTAGAGCCATATGTGCA